AATCTTCCCATCCTATTAGGAGATCTCCATACGAGTAGCACTCATAAATCTGTAAATGTAATAGTAACCCTAGACAAAATTTCAAGATTTTATTCTTTGACTTGTGTTTGTGACCCAGACTCACGAATTCACCCAAGACTCAGCAAGATTCAAAGCCCTAATGATCTAGAAACCTTTAAATCGAAAAACCCCAAATTCTAACAAACCTTAAATTTCCAATTTGTCGCGAATTAATCGATCTTAAACCTAGATACACCTTAGGACTTTGGCTCTGATACCACTGTTGTAACTTGAGTCTAAACTAACCAATACGCAAATCAATCAATCACAAAGAAGATTCAAGAATCAAACACACACGCACAAGCCAAGATTTATCATGGTTCACCTATCCAATAATGGATAGATTACATCCACGTTAAGCTCCGAAATATGGAGACTCACTACACTATGATTATCCAACAATTACATAAGGATTACACACTCAATCGAATGAACCAGGGCAATCTCTCAATCTAGACCTACTCACTCTAATTCGTACCTATAACTTGCAAGATTTCAGAGAACTAATCTAGCCTCAAAAGGAAACGCAACCCTTTAACAATCCTGCCCAGGTTACAATGAAAAAATCTCAGCAAATAAACCCTAATCAATTGCTCATTCACTCAATATAGAACCCTAACAGAAACAGACTAACCCGATCAACTCTTCCACTGTTTTGCATTTTTTATAGTATTGACTGACAGTGATTGTGAGCTGCATGATCAATCTTGAATCAACGTCCAGGATTCACTCACTTAGCTAAATGAGAACGACGTTGTTTGGCTTCATAAAACTTTCAAAAAGTATCATAATTTGTAGCATTATTTCGCCAAGAGCAAAATAATCAAAACACTTTAACCCCACGTGAATTCATTCTTCCTCTAGTTTCGGTCGACGTACAACCTCTAGGACCAACCATTTTAAACCATAATTTTTTAATTCCAATTATAGTAATACGCAATTCAAGCTTACAATCAGCCTCTGCCATTATGAATGAGAAACGTATGCAATATAGGTGACAAAAATTTGTTCTTTGAAGAAAATGAAACCACTTATAGAAAGAAACCACAAATTTTTCAAGAATATGGGTTATAATTGAGGTGATTCTAGTGGCCTAAATTGATCGTGTGTACAAAGTGTCGAGTGATTGATTTAGGCCTTCGTTATAAATGCTCTTCAGACAAGGCTTCTATCCCTAACAATTGATTTATTGTCTTCATTATCAATGAATTCAGTACTATAGTGAAGAATCAATAATTTGATCGCATATTTGAAGTTACAGACATACAATTTCTTTATTCAATCATGGTTGGTTGATTGGATCACGTGATCTGAGAATTTAGATGAAGGATAACGCTATCGTTATTAATATAAAATAGTCATATTTCCTATTTTGGTAGAGTTATTATGTTATTAGAAGCTAAAATTAATCTCAGAAAGTTCTTTGGGCTCATCAACTATTTGACCAATAAAGAGATCAAATGATCGATACAAGGATAACCTAATGGTAATACTTTCCAGAACTGAGTTTTTATTTAATTTCAGCTTCAACTGGATTACAAAGAATTCTTGAACTGCTTTTATACAAAAAATAAGTCCACGTTGGCAATCCGTGTGACTCTTACAGCTGAGGATTATGCAAGGTGCACCCAAACTCAATGAAAGTCAAGCTGAAGAGTAAAGTGGAAGCTGAAGAGTATGAACAACTTCCGTTAAGTGATTTCAAGGTGCAGTTTGACTCCGTTTACTCAGTTTACTTGAAAAATTCCTGCTCTTGATAAGTTGTCTTCCTTATCAAAAATATCCTGTTGAAAAGTTCTGGAAAAATAGGAAAGATCCTACGGTCAATCTTCACTACTTTTGTGTTTGTTGTATTAAAAATCAACAACTGATATAAGTAATCACTTGGATTTCTAATTGTAAATATAAAAGGATTTTTAGCTCATTGAATACACAATTGAGATTATTGATTCTTTCTCAGATTGAAAAGTTTTTCTTCTTGTTCCTAGGGATTTTTTCTTGTTCTGTATTTTTGTTCTTCTTTTATTGTTACAGACTTAGCAAAGAAACACCAACTGATTTAAAAGAAACACAAAGTGACTCCCTTTTAACCGCCGTTGATTACATCTCCAGTCTTGCTGAGCTGCAGTTGAAATAAACCCAAAAATCTGTAGCTTTAATCTGAAACTATTGAGATTGTGAGCTTCTTCAGTATACTATACTGCACCGGTTCACTAGGAAGGATTTAACGCCTCTTAATAGAAGCTGTTAATCAAACTGTTGAGCAGTGAAAAATTTGAAAACAAAGCTTTGAATATGAAAGTTTCTTTAACAGAAACTACTGCAGCAGTATGCCGTTAATTGAACCGTTGAGCAGTGAATGTTTTGAAAACAAAGCTTTGAATATAAATCTGGAAATTTGAGTATGAACTAGAAACTGGAAGCTTTGAACACAAATCTGGAAATTTGAGTATGAACTAGAAACTGGAAGCTTTGAATTTAAATCTAGAAATTTGAGTATGAACTGGAAACTGGAAAGAACAGAGCTCTCAGTCATGAACTGAAAACTGCAAATTTTGAATATAAATCTGGAAATTTGAGTCTGAACTAGAAGCTGGAAGCTTTGAATATAAATCTAGAAATTGAACTGGAAACTGGAAAGAACAGAGCTCTGTGTCATGAACTGGAATCTGCAACCTTTGAATATAAATCTGGAAATTTGAGTATGAACTGAAAACTGGAAAGAACAAAGTTCTCCGTCATGAACTGGAAACTATTGATTCCGTAACATACATACAAGGGATTAATACAGATAATGCCAGCAACCACCGCCCACCGGCGGAGCCGGAATGATGCACAATTGGCCAGATCTGGCTGGTCATACATCGATCTTGCCATTTCTGACTAGACTCATGGAAACGATGACCAAATTTTGGCCATTAACGACAGCCAGACTTTGGCTGTCAATGACAATCAGATTTTCGATTTTGGCAGCCACTAACAGCTAGATTTTGGCCATTTTGGCCGTTAACGGTCATCGTCAATGGCTTCATTTTTTGGGATGTTTTTGTTAATTTATAAAGTTTTGTTGTAAGGGGTGTTTTGTTAATTTTTAAAGCTTTATTGTGGGGGGTGTTTAACTAAATTAATAAAGGTGGGGATTAAAATAATCTAGGGTGCGTTTGATTCATTATTTTGGATAGGATTTTGGAAATAATATTGGGTAGTTGAATAGGGGAGTATTACGAGGTAAAATTTAAAAATTTATAAAAAAAAAAGCCCCTAGGTTTACTAATTTAATTAAACACCCAACATATAAAATGACAAAAATACCCCTACCACCTGCAGTGCCAGATTCTGGCCACCACCGCCGAAATCTGGCCGAAAAATCGCGTTACGACACAAACCGGTTGGATCTGTGTCGTAACGCATCATTATAGCCTTTTCCGGCCAAATCCGTGGAAAATGCCAGATCTACGGCCTGCTATGGCAGTCGACGGCCGGAAAAGGCCAAAACGACGGCCATCTTTGACCGTCAGCGACAGCCAAAAATATGGCCGTTGTTTTCGGTCAACGAGGGCCATTTCTTTGACTGTCGCTGACAGTCAGATCTGGCATTTTCCGGCCAGATCCACTGTGGATCTGGCTGGAAAAGGCCAGATCGATGAATTACCGACTAGTTCCGGTCAGTAATTCACCGTTGTGGCCATTTCCGGCTACCACCGATAGTGTTTGCCAGAATCTGCCAAGTATGGGTTACAGGGGTGTTTTTGTTATTTTTTAAACTTTTTTCAGGGGGTATTTAATGAAATTAATAACCTTATGGGGTCTAAAAGTAATTACAAAAAATTAGGTAATCTTTGTGGAATAATGTGCCAAAGATTATTTGAAGAATAGGATTGTGAATATGGGCAGGAATAATGAACCAAACACGCCCTAGAATATTTTCAGAGAATGTTTTCAAAAAATGCACCCAACAATTGTTCAGCATTTTATCCGACTCTGATATAATTTTCAAATATAATACCAAACATATTGTCAGATTCCTATCATATTCTATTTAATCTTATCCGATCTTATTTAGATAGTTTTGTAGAACAACATTTTTTTCAAATAACCTACCAAAATTCTTTTTGTGTTTTGTGAACAATGTTGTGTTTTGTAACCAATATATAGTTCAATAGAGTGGTAATAAGGGTGACTTATCTACTAACTTTTCTACTACAAATCAAAATTTACCTTACCTAAAATTGCCAGAAAACGATTAACCTCCCGTTAATATGATAAGCAAAATTGTTGCCATTAGTTTCACTATTATTTTCCGTTATTGCTGTTAGTGCTCTCCTCTATAAAGTGTACACTGCAGCTCTCTTTAATCAAGTTGAATAACATCAAGAATTCTCAGAAACTTTTCTTCGCATTTTCTCTGCTCACTGTTATATCATCAAATTATTATTTTAGCTTAGATATAATATGTTCATTTGATATAATTATTTCAATACAAAATATAAAACTTAACAATACAGAAACGAAATACAAATCTCCTCAATCATATATGATCAAATGATCATTTTGTTGACCATTTATCGTAAAAGGCAGAAACGGTGTCGTTTCTGCCTTCACCTTTTCTTCTCCACTTAAGCAGAAACGGTGTTGTCTCTCTCTCTGCCCATCGTCTTTCTTTGCCTTTATCAATTCTACTTTACTGATTTCTGTTTCTCTCACTCACGGTTTTCTGTTTCTCTCACTCACCAAATATTCTTTGTATAAAGGTGAGCTGAGCCTCATTAATTGTAATAGTTCAGTTACCCTGATGTAAATATCAGAATTTTTCTCTCAAAATCATCTTTCTCTTTAAGATTCACACATTTTACCTAGATATGATCATGTGCTATTATTTCAATACCAAAAAAAAAAAAAAAAAAAACCTTGTAATATAGAAACCAAATACAAATCTCCTCAATCACATATCATCAAATGATCATTTATAGCTACATATAATATGATCATTTGATATTTATTTAATACAAAATGTAAAACATATAATATAGAAACAAATTACAAAAAGTTCGCGACATTTATATCAATTACCCTTTGAGAACATATTTTACAAGTCCAACAATGTGAGTATTGATAATGTAGTCTTCCCAATCAATACTCTTTGGATCAAAGTTAAATGCATCAACTAGCCCACTCTTTCCTACCTCCATTCGCAACTTTTGTGAGTTTGTGTCATCAAAGCTGTAGGAGTAGAACACACAAATGATAAATTTAATGTTTCCTTTTTTCAAGAGATATATGACTTTATGGTTTATTTGATTTGTTAAATAAGAGATAAAAAATAATAGAACATACATTCCCTTGAAGAACATGTAGGGTTTGTAAAGGTCCACCAACCGCATAGCAAATTTGATTTTCTTTCCATGACCAATACAAACATCCTTATATTTTTTGTCGAAAACTGAAATCAACTTCAGTACCTTCAGACAAGAACAAAAATGAAAAATTAGTAATACAATGAGCAAAATGTAAGAAAATAATATATAAATGAATTATAAGAAAATAATATATAAATGAATTATATAAAGAGAAATCCTTATATGGGACAATTTCATAACCCAAACAAAGTGAGGTAGTGTAACTGTCTCATAAAATATTTCTCATATAATTCTCAAGTGCAATTAAGGTATTGAGAATACAAACCTTTAGTGGCATCACATATCTAATACGCATGTATGTGTAGAAACTAGCCCATGTTTTAAAAAATGTACACTTGGAAACTCTAATTGGCTTCCCAGCTTTGTCAATCAATGGATTTTCAACAAAATATTGTCTCGCAAACTTGTGAACATTTGTAAACTTTATGGGGTTTCTCATAGATGAGCCAACTTGATAAATCATCTGAGAAGACTGTCGTGTATTTGCCGTCATAGCCATGATCATTGAATTCACCACCATGTCCACTGGCATCTGCATGAATGCATGATGTCCATGAATTTGCTATTTAAATTTAAACATGTGCAAACGTGTATCTTTTGGATTACATTGGATCAATGATTGAAAATTATGACCCAAATTTATGTTAAAAAAATTGAGTTATAATAATCTAACCCTAAAGAGAAGGCTTTTGTATATTCATGTATGTTTTCACTTGAAAGAGTTTATCTCACCATATCACAGATGGCCTTAGGATTTGCGAGCAAGAATGTCAATCTCCCTTTACCATAACCAGCAATTGGCCCGTCAATTGTTCTGTATTCAAAATAATTGAAGTTATACTACAAAAATCACAACTTCATAAATTTAATTAGTTCTTGGTGAAGATGCATTAATTACTTAAAAATGGAAATGGTTGATGTGATTATACCTCAAACCTTCGATCCAACCAGGAAAGGGTTCTGCAAATGTACTGGTTATTATGGTGGGGCGGACGATGACAAGAGGCAAATTACCTCTATACTTTCCTAAAATCATCTCTCCCATTGCCTTTGTAAACGCATATGTATTTGGCCACCCATAAAATCTTGCCCTGTTCAAAAAATTAATTATTATTATTTCTTAAATTATTAACTTAACATTTTATTTAATGTTGATTATTCAATAAGGTCATACCTCTGGATGCCTAATTCCTTCATGGTTGAGGTGAGTTCATTTTTGGCAGCACCTTGGGCTTGAAGTTGATTTAATTTTTCGTCTATCAATTTCTTTTCTTCAGTGATTTCCAATCTGCATGAGCATTTCAGAGTTTCACCATTGTAGAATGGCTTTTCTGGTATGAGCCCTGATCCTTCACCGCAAACATATGCTAGAAAATGAACAAAAATCCACAGCCAAATACAAATGTTTCAGCTCCAGTAATAAATACCATACCCTTGTAATTTCTAAGCTTGATACATTTAGATTTCAATAATATTTCTCTTATAGTTTGCTGTGACTTGAAATCTTATCTCTGTCATAAATTCGACGTGAATCACTTGTGGATTCAAGTCATTAGAGTAACATGTAACCAGTGTATCATGTTGAGTCGTTGCAAAATAAAAATTTTCTTTTAGTTGGGCTAAAATGATATTCAATGCTTATTGTGAAATAGTTTTATTGGTATCAAAAACATATTTTTTTTAAATTAAAAATATTTTAAATTTAATTACTTTATAACTAGAGCCTGATTCTGTTCACATAATACATTCAACTTAGTTTGATCCGTTTAAAGGAAAAATAAAATAAAAATGAGCAAATATTTACAAACTTTATTTATAAAGTTTAGAAAATAACTCATAACCCGCTGGTCAAACACTCAGTTCAACTGAACCTATGCTCTAATACCATGATAGAATTTGAGGTGGGCATGACTACTCACCAAATAAGGCCTTGTTAAATGAGAGGATTATCCCCTCTTATAAAGTAGTAGGTTTGAGCGTGCCTAATCGGTGTAGGACTCCAATAATTATAATTATAATTACTATTAAATTAGAGAATGAGGTGTTTTAATGTTTGTTTGTCTCAGCAAACCACTAATCGGTAAAAAATTGATCAAATCAATATATTGAAAAGAATTTTATACTTTGAAAATATAATCAATCACTAAACGTAAATCAGTAATAATTTACCTGTTGATACATGGAGAACCATATTTATTTTAATGCAGTTCTTTGCAAAACTCATAATGTTGAGAGATCCCATTGTATTGATGTTGAAAGCGAAGTCATATCTAAATACCAAATAAATCAAGAGAAAAATTATTCAATTTATAATGTCAAATGAAATTAATTTAGGGAAGAGAAGAACGAGGATACGAATATATAGGAAAATTTTGAATTAGCTCTTTCTCCTTAATATATACCTTTCATCAAAGTTCGTTGTTGCAGCGGAATTTACTACTAAGTCTATTTCCTTGTACATTTCTTCCATTAGTTTAGAATCTTTTACTCCCAAGTTCAATTCAGAAACATCTCCAACTACTGCTACCACCTTTTCCAATACAAAGGACTTGAAATTGGCACCGAGTTTATCCCTCAGCACATTAAACAAGTCCTTCTCAACCTGTATAATATTCAGAATTTAAAAAAAAAAAAAAAAATCAAAAATTATAGAGTATCTCATCATTCATATCACAATACAATATATTTACAACATATATGATCACTTTCTGTCTCATTTATATTTATATCTAACTGTATGGTGTGAATGAATGCATTAGTTCAATTCAAAGTTGAGTTGAATAACAATATGTCCGTGTGTGTATATGTATACGCGCACTAAAAAAGTTACATGAATATTTGTAGAGAAACAGACTATTAAACACTATGAAGTGAAACATAAACCTCATCAAGAATTCGTTTCATTGCAGACTTTGCATCTGCTGCTCTCACAAGAAGATACAATTTTTTTACATTTGGTTGAATCCTCAGGATCTTCTCCACAAAAACTGCACTAACATATAAATTAATACGAACATAACAAAACATCAAATTGAAGGGAGAATGATTGAATGAGAGAGTGTGATTGAAAAATATTAATACCTTTTCCTAGAAAGCCAGTGGCACCAGTGACTAAAATAGTCTTATCTTTCAAAAACTGGAGAGGATTAACGAATTCCATTGATTTGTGAGTTGAAGGAAGATTGTTGTGTTGTGGAATGAAAATAATATATATTCTAGTCATCATGTACTTATCCTCTACTCCGTTGTCCAAATTTTATTTAATGCCTAACTAATCACCATCTACCTCTTGTCCTTCATCTATTCATGATTACTATCCAAGAAAAGAGATCGTCTAGCCTTCACTTGTGAAAATTAATATATATTTTTTTTACTTAATATCAATAATGTTTATGTATCGGTCACGTTATTATTAAGAATATAAAGTTGAAATTCTAATTTTGTATTTGTTGCGTTATATATATAGTTAATTCAAACTTTAATGTACGCATTTAAAATATAATTTAACAAAGTTTATATATAGATTTGTTCTAGTATTGACATTTTAATATTTTAAAAATGTATATCAAAGGTCTCACTTTTGAACTGTACGGTCAAAACTTCCGGATGTTTATTCCTAAGAATTCTCTCTCTCTCTCTCTCTCTCTTTCTCTACATATATGTGTGTGTTAAGTTATTTTAGGTGTGTATCATACCATCCTCTTGATATTAGGGCTTTACCTATGGCAAAAGCTGTTTTCCCCNTTCAGAAACATCTCCAACTACTGCTACCACCTTTTCCAATACAAAGGACTTGAAATTGGCACCGAGTTTATCCCTCAGCACATTAAACAAGTCCTTCTCAACCTGTATAATATTCAGAATTTAAAAAAAAAAAAAAAAATCAAAAATTATAGAGTATCTCATCATTCATATCACAATACAATATATTTACAACATATATGATCACTTTCTGTCTCATTTATATTTATATCTAACTGTATGGTGTGAATGAATGCATTAGTTCAATTCAAAGTTGAGTTGAATAACAATATGTCCGTGTGTGTATATGTATACGCGCACTAAAAAAGTTACATGAATATTTGTAGAGAAACAGACTATTAAACACTATGAAGTGAAACATAAACCTCATCAAGAATTCGTTTCATTGCAGACTTTGCATCTGCTGCTCTCACAAGAAGATACAATTTTTTTACATTTGGTTGAATCCTCAGGATCTTCTCCACAAAAACTGCACTAACATATAAATTAATATGAACATAACAAAACATCAAATTGAAGGGAGAATGATTGAATGAGAGAGTGTGATTGAAAAATATTAATACCTTTTCCTAGAAAGCCAGTGGCACCAGTGACTAAAATAGTCTTATCTTTCAAAAACTGGAGAGGATTAAGGAATTCCATTGATTTGAGAGTTGAAGGATGATTATTGTGTTGTAGAATGAAAATAAGGTCTATTTATAGAAGAAGAAAAAAATCTGAAAGATTATTGAATCAGCCATTTTAAGAAAGTTGGTGCATAGATTATTATAGTCATCATGTACTTTTCCTCCACTCGGTCGTCCAAATTTTATTTAATGCCTAACTAATCACCATCTACCTCTTGTCCTTCACCTATTCATGATTACTGTCCAAGAAAAGAGATCGTCTAGCCTTCACTCGTGAAAATTAATATATATTTTTTTATTTAATATCAATAATGTTTATGTATCAGTCACGTTATTATTGAGAATATAAAGTTGAAATTCTAATTTTGTATTTGTTGCATTATATATATATAGTTAATTCAAACTTTAATGTACGCATTTAAAATATAATTTAACAAAGTTTATATATAGATTTGTTCTAGTATTGACATTTTAATATTTTAAAAATGTATATCAAAGGTCTCACTTTTGAACTGTACGGTCAAAACTTCCGGATGTTTATTCCTAAGAACTCTCTCTCTCTCTCTCTCTCTCTCTCTCTACATATATGTGTGTGTTAAGTTATTTTAGGTGTGTATCATACCATCCTCTTGATATTAGGGCTTTACCTATGGCAAAAGCTGTTTTCTCCTTGTAATTATGAAATATATGTTTCATCACATACTAAAAAAAAAAAACAATTAATGACTCCTCGTTAAATTTCATCAAACATTTCTCAAATTAGATTCGAGTTAATGATTGACTAGGAAATAATAAATGATAAGATAGTATGAACGGTTGAGATATTTATTTAGCGAGTGTAGGCATTTATGATAATGGAGAACTAAAACAACCACCTCATAACTTTATTCAATTAACTGAAACAATTAATTTAGAACCGAATACTTAGTTCAAAGGTTCATTTATCTCTTATAATTTCTGGAAAATAAAGACTAATGATATTATAAATGGCTATATTTATATCTAATTGTGTGGTGTGTATGATTACATTAGTTCAATTCAAAGTTGAGTTGAATAACAATATGTCCGTGTGCGTACCATCAAATTTTAAGGGAGAAAGAATGTGAGTGTGAGTGAAAAATATTAATATTCTTACCTAAAAAGCTAGTGACTAAAATGGTCTTATCTTTCAAAAACTGGAGAGAATTAACAAATTCCATAGATGTGAGAGTTGAAGTTTAAAAATATGATTATTTGAGTAATGACAATAAAGGCTATATATAGGAGAAAAAAAATCAGATAGATAAACGTTATTTTCTTCGTGTTAAAAATAGGTTATTTTTTTCTTATAATTATTTATGCAATTGATTGCTGATAACTACTCTCATTAATTTTTTAGATATATGTTACTTTCGATACATACTATTTAGAGTTTGTTGCCTCTTAAATCACCATCTATGATCTACTTGTTGCCATTTATCCAATGAGGCTGACAATGGCTACCGACAATCGCCAATTGTTCACCTTCTCTTGCATGTGAAAATTAACATCTTTTATCCTGTTAATATATGTTTCAGTAACACTCTGTATCTATAGGACGATGCAATAATTGTATTATTTTCTTGTAATCAAGGTAATGCTGACACAAACAATTAGGATTTTTTTTAGGTAGGTATGTAGAAAAATTTTTGGAGATTGATACTTGGATTTTCTTTCTCATATTATTATTATTGGTATCTTGGCTATTACAATTTTCTAAGAATTAACTAGATATTTATAGGCACTTAATTTTAATTACGGTAATTTTCCTAAGGTCTACTAGGATTAAGATTTTCCTTTGATCTTAACTCAAGTCAATTTTCAACTTAAGGTTAAAAACTAATTTCCGGCAGGATATAGTCTCACTCGCTCAATATTGGGGCACTTGGTATAATCAAAAACCGATTTCCCTGGAATTATGAAACATATGTTTTTCGACAAACTAATTAAAAATAAAATAAAATTTTAACCACTCCTAATGAAGTTTTCATGAAACATTAATTATTGAAAAACCATAATTATATTTGGTTAGTTTTAATGATTTTTATTAGTTTAATTATTATCCATTAAAAAATTGTAATCAGTAAATGGTTATGGTTATTAGGCTGATAATATTATATGATCTATGGATAATTTAACAATAATGTTAGACATAGATTTTTATACAAACTGATATGAAAGAAAATAAATAGAAGAGTAAACACAAAAGTCAAACTCATCATATTCGCTCTTTCATTCATTTTCTGTCATATCAGTTTGTATATAAATATTTGTAAGATTTATTTATACGTTTAATATTACTCCAAATTTAAACTAGTATATATATATGTCCCATTTTTTCAAATGTAAGTGAGTTGGAGAAAGAAAAAGATAAATAAGTTTCTCTATTTTGTATTAATTGAAAGAAGTGAACATAATTATAGAATTTATTTTTTCAAAATTAATTTCTCTAATTAGATATGATGAGGATATTTACTTCCATAATCTCATCATTAATTTATTGGATTTGTCCCATAGTTCATTTTATTTTTCATTTTAGAATAAAATTAAGGGTATATTTATAACTATCACTTCCTTAAAATAAGTATGTGATGTCACAATTTGTTCCTCAATACATTTAAATAATATCACATAATTAAACTTAAAAATATAAATATCCTCCAAACTTAGTGTAAATAACAATTAGACCTAGAGATCTAAAAAATGTTATTACAAGCTCAAACATTATAATATAATAATATTTTCGCCCAAAAGATAAACCTAATATATTATATAATAAATAATAAAATAATAGAGTAATATTCTACCCACAACCTCTTTTTACAAACTTTCTCTCACAACCTCGACGTGGTAGCTCGTAATTTGTTAGTCGTAATTTATCAGGTGAGACCTAGGTGGAATCCATTATGAACTAATCAATTACAAGTTACTATGTCGGAGTTGCGAAGGAATTTTGTGAGAAGAGGTTGTGGGTGTAATCATAATCAAAATAATATGTAAGTATATTGTTTTAAAACACAAAAGTACTAGTTAAAGGGCGTAAGTAATTAATATCAATCACATGTAAATATATAATTTCATGCACAGAACCGCAAGTAAAGGACAAATTAATGCACAAATTGATTGAATTGGAGGACACATAGCCAGCAGAGAGAAATAAAAAAATACTATTAAAAAAAAAATAACACTCATACAATGATATCTTACAAAAATTTATATATAAAGTGACACATCAAAAAATGAATAATAGAGTGATTATAAAAGCTAAATTCCTTATATTCATTGTTTCATTCATTTTTTATTATATCATTTTGTATGCATATTTTTTAAAAAAGTTTTTATCAGCATAGTATTATTGTTTTTTAATTCCAATGTAGATTTTTTAAAAGTTGTCTTCAAAATTAGTTGTTGATCATAATTGGGTGAACTAATTTGAACTTGTGTTAAATGTGGAGAGCTCCATAAAGATCTTCAATATTAGTGCAGTTGAGAGAAGGTTTTGTCCACAACTTTTTGCTTGGTTGTTGGCCGATGTGGTCCTACGAGTTGTAAGACTTTAATCACACATTTGATGATAGAATTTGAAGTAGATTTACTCATCACTCCACGCCTTGATGAATGAGAGGATTACATTGAATAGAAAGATTACACCCTTTTATAAACCAGTAGTAGACTTGAGCATGTCTAGTCGATGTTGGACTCCAACACTCGCCCTCATGGTTAAGCCTGTTGATGAAGGTAGTTATTGGCTCTAACTCCTCACTCGCTGGTTAAGCACTTAGCTCAACTAGGCTTAGCTCTGATACCATAATAGAATTTAAGGTGGATCTAACTTCTCATCCAATAAGGACTTGTTGAATGGGAGGATTACCTCTTTTGATAACCTAATAGACTTAAGCGTACCTAATCGGTGTGAGACTCCAACATTTAAAGCTATGGATTTTTCATTCAATGCAATTTCTTTATTGAAATATGGTAAGAGTACTGGTTGATTGGATCATCTGATCTAATAGTTTAGATGAAAGGATATGATCTAGTAGTTCATATGAAAGATGAAAGGTAAAGTTATTTGTAGTAAATATAATATTTGAATCTCGACGAGATTTAGCATTGTCTTCTTCCATGGCCCTCTGCCGACGGTAGGGCTGGCATTGGGGCACATTGTTCCAACAATAATGCCCCCACAAGTTATTGCGCTGCTGTTGATTAGGTTTGCGCTTGCAAAGCAGTGGTCGAGTCAAGGCATCTTCATTTTCTGGTGCTTTAGTCATATTTCTTGTTTCGGGCGAGTTAATGTTACCAAAAGGTAAATATTTTACCAATAGACTGATATAATGATAAATATAGGAACATCGTTACCTTGTGCAATAGTATTATTCGTAGTGAATGACCACTAGGAGTAGGAGGGCAACCTTACCGATTCCCTTTTTATTGCAATGTTAGATATCCATTTTCCGATATACTTCCAGCGGTTTTGGTTCATGCAATGAGTTTTATCACTTTGTTTTTGACTTTATTAACAATCAAACCATTGTATTTGCCCAATATGGACATGTTACATATCCCATTCTATTATGGTATTTAAATTTGATAAATATTATATATACAAAATTGGGATCCCACATCATGACTATTGATATGTTAGCTTCGTGTTAACAGTAGTAAACACATTCGTCCACAAAATCCTATGGTTAATCCTAACTCAATGATGTTGTGTAACAAAGTTAGAATCCCAACTAATATGATTGTCGATATGTCAATACCACAATGCTTGTAAGAAACACAATATCACAAGAAACACAATATCACTCCACAAAATCTTACAATTATTATAGTGCTAACGCATTCAGAGGCACCAAAAGACAATTTTGATACGAAAGCAAAAACTTTAGGAAAAAATGATCCTTTTATAAATGCATACTGAAATATAACCAAGTTTAGAGAGTGTTGAAACAAGAAATTGGCTACCACAAGACAATGTTATCGATAACATAAGTCTTATTTATTATTAGAGGACTGTCAAGGGCAGCATACTCAGAAATCAACAAAGGCCTTCTCCTTGAGAGATTCTACCGTCTCCTTGATGCTAACCTCGAAGGGAATGAACTCAAGTCCCAAGCCCTTCACTTTTTCTTTTGACACCTGATATGTCGGAACATATGGCTTGTCATCAGCACACCTGAAAAGGTTTTCAACACAAAATTATATTTAATTATAATTATATCCAGTATCGTCGAACATTTTAACTGCGGAATGTTTAACTGCCAAGAATTAGAAGGTCCAAAATCCTCCCAAAAAAAGAAAATCGTCTATCATGTTAACTAGGGTTGCCAATTAAAAGAAGCTGTCATCGACACCAAAATTCTATGTTTGTCCCACTCTCTCTATGTGTCATCAAGAAATATTTCATAACTAGTGAAATACATTAAAACCAGCAAGTCTGAAGCCAATATAGATTAAAAAAAGCTCGAATAAAGAAAACATTTCAGTTTTACTTTCTATTTTATAATAGGAAAAGGGTCAAAGCTCAAAATGTTTCTGGACATGAGCACAGCTTTTCTGATAGGATCAAATATTTGAAATGAAACGCGTTAAGATGTCAAAAATGGTAAATGGCAGCAAGAAAACTATCACTGTGATTTTTGCTTCATCATAACATGTTTGTTGAGGTGAAATAAATTAAGTGGAATAGAACGCAAAAACCATTAGCATGATTAGTGTGACGTAGAAAGCTAAGAATTGCGATAAAAGAAGACAGATTTGAGCCAGACAAAACTTACTATATAACAGACTTATTCACGCAACTCACTTCATAAAAGAAAAAATAAGCAAAATGAACATCCACCGCAACTGATGATTATTACCTGTCCTTTTTACTGTCTTAATATAGAGTGGAAAGAAAAACTTACTTTTCAGGAAGGTGGAAAGTGGGGTAAAGCTCACTTAAGGCTTTCACAACTTCTGAATAGTGCGCAACTCTCTCGACTAAACAATATCTTCCACTGGCTGAAGGAACCTCAAAAGCTAGGATATGTGCAGTTGCAACATTTTTAACATTAACCCATCCAAAAGTTGCATTAGGGAAAGTTTGAGCTCCTGCATCCAATGATGGAATGAAAAATAAATGAGGTAAAAAGGTTAAGATATAAGTACACACATTCAGCAATGTTGATGCATAACATTAAAAATTATGGATTGTCTGTTCTTTATCCGAGGTGTTTTTGCATCAGTATCAATCTATATAATAATAACAATCATCACTAATAGTTTCCATGATTCAGAAGATATAAATAAAAAATAGAATTTTAGTAAGCAGAAACCCAAGTAAATTGTTAGTCTTGCCAAAGGCAGAACCATTATAATTTGTTGGCAGAACCATTATAATTTGTTGAACTGGAAAATCCATTTAGAGACAATGTCCCAGAAGATATCTTGTTCATCCCTTTAGCTTTGCTCATAGGGTTACTGTGCTCTTCAAAATAAAAACCTAAACACCCATCCTTCTAATTGGCAAAAAGACAGCAATAACTGAAGCAACATGAATAAACTTGTAAATGTTCCTATTAACAAAAAGCCTCAAGCCACTGAAAGTTTGTCAACTGCCATTTGCAGCGGCATGTTGCATTTCCCAGTTCTACGACTCAGCAGCCAACTGAAAATCCCACAAACCGATGTATTTGACTTTCTTGGGAAGTGTAACAAATCTATAGGCCCGGAAACATTCTGGTTCAAAAGTAAATCTTTCTTCAAATAAATTATTCTCATAAAAAGCTATTAATACATTTTGAGTTTTTCTCCCTCGGTACATAAAGATTATTTACTCGTAATATTGAAGAAGATAAGTGTATTTAGGTAAAAGAATACGGAAATCAACCCATTAGCATTAAAAAAAATACCTTTAATTAAGCTTAGAATTGCTGCAGCACTAGTATTAAGCGTTGGCTGTAAAAGAGGACCAATGACCATTGCTGGGTTTAGAACAACAATATCCAAACCCTTCTCCTTAGCGAATTTCCAGGCAGCTTCCTCCGCCAGGGTCTTTGAAAGCACATACCAAAGCTATAAACCCAAAAGCTATATATATTAATATTAAAAATAAAAAAGAAGAAAGTCTAATATCATTTCCTTATTTATTACTAAAGACAGAAGCCACTGAACTCAAGTAAATTGTTAATAGCTTTACATAATGAACATTAACCAGTCCAGAAAACCATGAACCCAAAAGCAAAACGTAGATTATGCAAGAAGTTTATAATTACTGATATTTCAATAAACTAAACCTGTATCACAACAGTGTGTACAGAATCTCTTCAATCAAGCTATGCAAGTAAATCACATAGCAGAACAAGATGAAGACCTTGTAAAGAAATTTCACCGTGAAGCACTGAAAGTAAAGACCTAACCACCAAATTCAAAGATGGAAGTGAAATATAAGCATCATATTCATGATTCCCTTTAGTTCACAACATCTTCAGAGAGTTTAGACAGGCTCATACAGAAAAATAAATTTAAAAAAAAAAAAAAAAAAAAAAAATCTTTCTTTGCCATGTTGCAAATTCTATTGACCTACAACGACAAAGGAGCCTCACAATTCAAAAGGATTATAAATTTCCCAAATATCGCCCAGCACAATGTCTCTGTGAAACAGCAGAAGTCAATCATGAATATAGAGACTGCCTTTCCCAAATATAACAAGAGGTACAAACAGAGACCTCCACTGAAATTTTGGAAACTGATCATAAAATTTATCATGAACCTCCGCTGTAGAGAAGGTCTTTGCCTGTTTTCCAAACAAGGGGTCTATCAACAGGCCAAACCTCAAGGAAATGAAATATACCCCAAAAACACAAAAAAGAAAAGAAGGAAAAAGGATGTTGAACATCACATAACTGTTTGCGATGAACATACATTGATATAGTTAGTATCCAATCAGTAATACTTGTTTAAGCTTGTATATAAATCTTAATTCCAATTACAGGTTATTGTCAATAACACCTAAGAGTTTGAAATTTCACTTGAGTCGCAATATATTATTCTCAATAAGACAGAAAAAACAATAGCACGCAGAGAAACCTTTTGCTGCTTGCAGACTTCCTGATCAGAAAACCAAGTCTCATCTATCACTGTATCTGGATTTCGAGGTTGTCCGTTATATGTAACAGCAGCCATTGAAGATGTCAAAACGACTCGTTTGATAGAAGGGACTTTTACACAAGAGTTAAGCACATTAAGAGTTCCCTTCACTGCAGGATCAATTAACTCTGCCTGAAATGAAAACATGAAATTTAAGTAACCATTGCAGAAAAGGAAGCCAAGCTTGCCATTCAGCTAAGACAATAAAACACATACTTTACTGCCTACGCATATATGTATTTATGTAAAAAATTTCATGAAAATTAACCTGTGGATCCTTGACATCATGGTAAAAGGGAGATGCAGTATGAAAAACACCATCACATCCTTCAACAACAGAATCAAAGGATCCTTCTTCCAATAGGTTTGCTTTAAACAACTGGAGTCTCTCCGAAGCTCCATCAAGTGTAACTAAGTGCTCTGTCCTTCTTGGATCATCTGCAGAAGAATAAAAACTAAATACAGTTAGAAAATCATTTAAAAAAGAAGAATAAAAACTAAATACAGTTAGAAAATCATTTTAAAAAGAAAAATAAGCTAATTGGTGCCTATAAAGATAAGATTACAATTAGAACGTAAGCATGGCAATATTCCCCAGGATTTTGGGTACCCGTCCCGCCATGGGGCAGGGAAGACCCGGTTTTTTTGGGGATAGAGGTGGGGGTGGGGGGTGTTTTAATCCCCGTCCTCAAGGGTGGGTGATGCCTTTCCCCCACCCCGCCCCGCCCCGTATATAATATATAAAATTAAAAAAATATATATATATGTATATACTTATACTTTTCACTATTACCCCCACATTTCACCTAATTACACAATTATCCTACTTATAAAAACTCATATTTTCCCAATTTGCCTCACCCTAAACAATTGAACAAGAACAAACCCTGGCCCATATTTATGTATAATTTATTATGTTTAAACAATTAATTTAAGTGTTTGTCTTGTGGACGAGAATTAACTATTATGTTTGATAATGCTCAAATTAATTTATGTTCATATAAAATTATCCGGGGGGGGCGGGCATCCAACATTCCCCTTTGGGGCGAGAAAGGAGAATTCTTGTCATCCCCGTAAAGGGGATGGGGCGGTGGTGGGGAGTGATTTTGAGGACGGGAATGGGTACGGTGAATGAGAATCCCGCCCCGCCCCATTGCCATGCCTATTAGAACGTTCAAATATTTTCCAGAACTCATGTTCCCTCAAAACATGAACGCAAAAGCAAATCGTCTTATTTTTTAATTTTTGCGATAAACTCATATCCAACACAGCGTTTCAGGTACAAAACATATAACTAGAAAACTTCACAGTCCTCTATATCGAAATTTGTATTGATTTCTTCTGTAAATCATCAACCAAATGAGTAGATGGCATCAAAAACTAAGCTTTTAACACCAGATCATCATGTCCATAACAAAGCAAATCAAAACGACCCACTTTAACATTTCAACAAATACCAGCCAAAATGAAGCAATCCATACGAATAACACACAATCAGCCAAAATCAAGAAATGGGTATGTTCTTAAATTGCATGTATGATAATAAAACCCATTGGAAAAATCAAGAATCAACAAGGATATGAATGAGAAAATTGACAGAATGAAAACTAACTGGGGTCACGAACAGTGGCCTTCACAGTGTAACCGCGAGCGAGGAGAAGCTTCACAAGCCATGAAGCTATGTAACCGGAAGCTCCGGTTACGCACACGATCTTCCCTGCTCCACTGCTCATCTTCCTCTTCTCCTTGAGTTTTTTTCTGTAACGTCTTGGAGTTGAGAGTTTGCTTTTCTATTTATAGATACATGATCCACTCTGTTTATCAAGGAGTAATTTTAACAAAATCCATAAAATTTGATACAATATCAAACACCCCTATTGCTTTGGAATTATTACATTTTTACCCTAGAGCCTTGATTCTAAACTTGTCTCAAGTCCATCATGGACATTTTGCTTATATCATAAATCTTTTTCAAGCACACTAATGTATTATCACCCATTAGGGTTTGGTTATATTCGAGTTGATGAATCCAATTAGTACCAATATAACCATTAATTAATTTTAAAATAATATTTGAATTTAATATTTCTATTTATATTCTTTTTGATCTAATTTATAATCATAATTATTCAAATCTACCTCAGTCTTATGACTTAAACTCTTCTTTTCCAAAACATAAATTAATGCATCATTAAATATTAAATCAAAATCTTCTTATCTATATGTATACACGCCATCTAATATCACGGATTATTAAACAACAAAAAGTCCAATAGTAATTAAAAAAAAAAAAACTTCAAATTATTGTACTTTTTTTAATCTTTAAACACCTAAACAAAGTTGTTTTACTAATTTATAAATTATCATTATTATTATTAGAAGAAGAAGAATAGGTTTACGAGTTCAAAGGTGCAAGTTATCATCCCAAATTTTCCCTAAGACGGATAACTATAACTATAGGCAGAGGGGATTATATACAATTTTAAAGATAGAAGGGATGTGTTACACGTTACATCAAAATTGAGGGGGAACACATGTCGATTGTATAGAATATATAGTATTATTATGAGAAGATAATTAATATTGTTGGACACATGTCAAGGTCGAATTACTATAATAGTCAATAATCAATATTCTCACTTTCGAAAAGAATTCTCAAATTCGAGTATCAATTAATTATTGACTAGGAGTAAAAAGGGCAAAAATTGGCAACTAACCCAATAGAATAAAGTAGCTAGAGACGTGTATAAACTGGTATTTGCCTTTAGAAATATAATAAAAGGAGATTAATCCAATTATGGTGATGTAATTGCTTACCAAATTGCAAACTCTTTAATCACTTAAGTTAGTTATACTCAGAGGTTTGTATTCGAGTAGCAAGATGAGCTTGTAAGGTGTTCCGTGGTCTTGAAGATTTAGAGTCACCTGTTTCGTATAAGTTCTACTAAATTTTTAAATTTTTTATATTATATGTATATTTTTATTGATATAGACTGAATGTTTTTTTCTTTTATCATATATTATCTTCATTATTAACTATCAATTCCATACTTATATTAGGCCCTGTACAACAAGATCCATTTTCAGCATGAACATTTTTCAACTCAAGTATATGTATTGGGTTAGAAAATAATATTTTTTTCAATTAAAATATATTGGGCTGAGGGCCCATTTAAAGCCAAGCCCTGGGCTGAATAGAACATTTTCGAATTAGAATATAGTGGGCTATGGGCGTTTGAAAACTAGACTTGAGCCCAAACCAGGATTGACCGAGGATGGGCTCCTGAACAGGCATAGTGGGTTAAGAACATTTTACGCCCTTTAAATTTTCGGAAAATATTTGGGTCCAGAGGTAAAAAATAACAGATTCGGACACTAACATTATGCGAAGTACAAATTACCCCTCTGCATTTTTCACTGACATCCCGAAATCTTAGACAACATAGGGGCACATGTGTCATTTTCCTATTGAAATGAAATTTCATCTCTCGGGCTAGCTCAAATTTGCTTGTAATATTATTATTTTTTGTATATATATATATTTTTTTTCATTTGGTGGTGGAGATGGTGTTTCCTATGTTGGTGAAGGCAGTGGAGGCGGAGGTGGTGCACAGGGCGGATTTAATGAATGAAAAGTGGAGACCACAGCTCCACTCAATTTTTTAAAAATTTCAGATTTTCTATTTCTATTTATATTTATTTAAATTTTATCCATATAAATCTTTGAGATTTTCAGAACGGAATAGTCGGCCCCCACGATAAGTTTGGATTTTGTTTTTGTAAAACCCTGGTTTTAATTCAAATATATTTATTACATATTCTTTGTGATTTTTATTTATATACAAGGGGATCTATTAGTTTTTAAAAAATTTATTGGGAGTGAAAATTAAAGGAATAAGAGCTTTCGGGTTGGCACGTAATGGCTTACATCCTGAACAACGTGGTGAAGCATGTAATCTATTTAGGGGTGAAAATCAAGTCGAACCACTCACGAGCCACTCAAACTATACTTGATGTTGGCTTGAACTCGACTCCGCATTAGTCGAATCGAGTTTGAGTAGTTAATCGAGTAAAACTTGACTCAATATATTCACGAGTATTTCCAAGCTCGATGGTTAAGTTGACAGTTTTTAAAGTAATAGAGGTCATATGTAATTTAAAAGTTGTAAAATTTGCAAATCCACGCCTGTTAGATGAGCTTGAAAACGAGTTCGAATTGAACTCGAACAAAACTCAAAAAAATCTCGATTATACAAACTTGAATTTGAACTCGATTTCCAATTTCAAGTACCGAGTTCGAGTTTGAACTTGATTTCTCAAGTTCGACAGGCTTGAACTCGAACTCGAACTCGGTACTATAGAGATCGAGTTGAATTCAATTACCAAATCTAGACTTGATTCGATTTCACCCTAAATCTATTATGTAATCTATTCCTTTGATTTGCATTTAGTTGCATATGATGAAAAATATATTGGCAATTACTAATGAGTTTTCACAAGCATTGCAGAGAAAAGATCAAGACATTATAAATACTATGGCCCTAGTCAAAGTCTCCAAAACAACGGTTACAATTTTTAAGAGATGAAGATGAAAATCTTTGTTGAGTGAAATTTCTTCATTTTGCCAAAAACATGATATTGTCATTGAATATGGATGATATGTTTGCAATTCGAAGGCGGCACGAAAAGGTTGAGCACATAAAAACTTCACACTATTGAGTTGAATGTTTTATACAGTGATAAATATGCAACTTAAAAAACTTAACACTCGTTCACTAAGGTTAGTACTGACTACTTCTTTGTATGACATGTTTAGATCCAAGTATTCATTTCCTGCTTTTGACAAGCATAAATTGATCTGTTTTGCCCAGTTTTACAACGATTTTTCTGTATTGAGTTGATGGTACTTGAGAACCATACAAGGACTTATGTTATTGACAAGCGTTCTTGTGATGAATTTTGTGAGTTAGAAGGAATTGTGATTTAGCTAGATTTAGTTCAGCTTAAAAAGACATTTTTTATCCGTTGGTGTATAAACTTGTGAAACTTGCTTGGTTTTACTAGTTGCGACTGTGATCGTTGAAAGGACTTTTTTTGTAATGAATTGTGAAAAGTTGGTTACACAATCGAATAGGAAATCAATGGATGAATATTGTTTGGTCACCTATATTGAGAAGATGTATTTGATACAGTTGATGAGAGATATTATCACAATTTTCAGAATTGCAAATTGTCGAGGACAATTTAGAAAAATTTTTATTTTACAAAAATTTGTTTTTGAAGATATTTATTTGTATTTTATAACTTTTGTTGAAACTCATCATAATGAAAAAAAAAATGAATATGATTGGTTTTAATTTTTTTTCGTTTATTTTTACCCCATAAGTGAAATTCTTGGATCCCCACTGGTGGTGCAGCCTTAATTAGTAATATATCTTAATTAAGGGTGGAGCTAATGGCCACCCTAGTCCTATGAAATTTTTAAATTTTATCCAGAAAATGTAACTTCCTAATTTCTTTGTCCCCTCATTATCGAAGAGATATTTTAGCCTCATAATTTTTTTTTAAGTACGCCCAGCTCTCAAGTTTCGTACAACCTCGATATGGATTGATGAAACTAATTGCGATGACAAATTGACGATCAACTCATGTCATAACTAACAGGTTTATTACTTGAGGTATAAAACCCAAGTATTAGAAGATAGAATTGTGTAACAAACATCAATTGACTATAAGGGGGATGTAATTGTCACCTTTCAAAAGTTAAGATACAAATTGGTATTTCTTCGAACCTTTGTCTTTTCTATCCAATCAATTATTTTTCCAAACGTGAAGGTTTTTTTTTTTTTTTTAAACATTGAGTAAGCTTTTACATATCTCAATAATCATAAAAATTTATTTAAAATCTAACAAATTAATAAACCGAATAAATTATAAATATATGAGTGGTCATTTTATACTGGTTGAACATAAAATCCCTAAATGATCCGTTATCTTATCATCGCACGAACGAACCGTGGCACGGAAGCCTTCTAGTAGTATGAGAGGATCTATATCCCTGTTAAGCTTACGCCAGTTCCAACGTCATGGGGACTGACAAGTTCACATCATTGCTATCATGTCTTCCAGCTAATTAACTTTGTAGGTCAATGTGGTTTTCTGCCACAGAATTCTAGTATCTCTGATGCGGTTCTCTGTTTGGATAGAGTTTAAAGACACGCATTGATATGGACAGTTTGTTCTTTTGTTGTGGCATTTTGGTGAAGAAATTTATGATTTCTTGCAATTTAATATTTTTATTTATGAATTGTCATTTTAACTATCACTTCTTTAGAAAACGTATTAATATTTTCTTCATCAGTAAAATGATGAGGAAAATTCAACTTTCGGAAAATATCTCATTTTATTTCAAACCCCTTTTAACATCAGAAGTTGTTTTGTCATTTAACAGATTATGTCCACATTTAAAAACTAATTAATTAATTAACAATTCCACTTATGAAAACACAAATATATACAAATATACACATGGGCGGACCCAGTAGTGGCGAGTGGGCGCTGGTGACCCACTCAAAACAAAATTTTCATTAATTACTTATAGTTTATGTTTTGACTAGCCTGTATTTGTGTTTATGTTTTCAAATTTGACCTTACTCGCATATATATATATATATATACACACACACAAAAAAAAAAAAAAAATTATAGACCAAAATTCTCGTTAATGAAGTAAACCTTGTGTATATAGTTAATTATTAAAATTTGTTGTTTTTTTTA